GGTGTGAAATGATAAATGTTTGCGAGTCCATCTCCTCGAAGGCCCTGATCTGTACCTGAGAGGGGCATATAGATATACCCACATGGCATTCGCTTGGGTAGATTTCCCTTGGCATACCGCGCAGTAGGTGTGTGAGCAAGTGTTCCCATCTCTGTGTGTGTGTGTGTGTGTGTGTGCGCGCGCGCGCGCGTGTGTGTGTCTGTGTCAGTTTTGGCAGTAAGGCTTTGCTCGCACTCTTGAGACCTTTAGCTCCTTTAAAAGATATCATGTGCCTGGCACATAGTATGAACCTAATAGCTACTGTTGAACAAATTAATGAATAAATACTATGTGCAGAGAATGGTAATGGGTGCTATTTTTGGAGACTTTGCATAGTCCTCATACTTGAGATTTAATTGGAGAAAGTAAGTCTATAAGCATGAAGTAAAGTCTATTCTGATGTAACAGAGGAATAAAGCCTGTGGATGAAATAAATGAATAATTATAATTATAATCATAGCTGATATTGACATAGCACTTATCATATGCCAAGCACTCTCCTAAGTGCTTTAATATGCAGGGTATAGCTGAAGTAAGGCCTACCTGAATGTGGTTGCTAGGGTAATAATATGGGTATAATAATTTATAGTTTTAATTAGAACATTTGACCTAAAATGTCATATGATATGCTTGAGTGTGACATTGTTATGTTACAGAATTACATGCTTATGATTTTATAGTAAAAGATTTTGTAATAAAAGAAGGGGCATTATTTGCGACGGACCCTGTATATTAATGTTTCTCTAACTTTAAAAGGTATTGCTATTATTTTCTTCCCTTCACATTTGAAAAACCCAAAGAACTGAGTTTGGTTAAGTGACTTTGGTTGGAGTCACACACCCACTCAGAATAAGGTCACATAATGTGAACAAAGTGGGACTGGGGGTCGAGATGCGGCCTGCCCATGGCTGACGGCCACCCCTGTAGCGGGAGGCTGTGTGCACAGAGCCTCTGGCCCGCCCCCGGTGGGGGCTGTGAACTGAGAGGCTGTTGAGAGCCAGCTCGCATGACAGATGTGTGATCGGGCTGGCAAACAGCTCTAAAGCTTTCCCAGAGCACAGGCCAGATGGGTTCTAAAAACCCTTTGCATCAAGGGCTCAGTGTGCGACAGACTGGAATCTTCAAGGGGAAAATCTCCCCCTCTCCCAACAAACTCTAAGTAGATCTGGCCATCTTTAAAACTCACATAATAGACTTTAACTTTTGAAAAAACCCAGTGCATTACCCTTGAAAAAGCACCAGCTGGTTAGAGAGGAAGAGACACATCGTAAATAACTAAATAACTAAGTGTACTCTCGCAGCACTGCGTGTTGGCTCTGCCCAGAACTGTGCTGACTCCTGAGGACTCAGCAGTGAACAAGGCAGACAGAAGCCCCAGCCTCGAGCTAACATTCTCACGGGTGAGATAGACAATAAACAAGTAAATACTAATAGGTCGCCGTGTCAGATGTGACGAGCAACGTGGGAAACACAGCAGGGCAGGGGACGGAGTTCAGACACTCAGGTAGGAGTATGTGAATACCACAAGTTCTGATGGTTGTTTTCTGACTCCCTCACAAAGGAGTCTGGCAGGGAAAGCGAGGGCCCTGGTGGGTGCGTGTAATCTGTGATCCATTGTGGGGACTCAGGCAAATCATCGAGCAGACTGTTTTATGTCAATAAGATGTGGTCTTCAAATTCAGTCAGTACAGGTATCCGTCCATGCAGGTATGAAGACATTTGCTTGTTTCATTATATCCCATAGGAATTTTTCCACAGTACAGAGTTTGGTAGCATTTTGAGTGATGTTTCTATCTGTGAACAAAGCTTTGCATTTGAAAAGTCTGCAAAAAAGTTAAGATGAAACCTTCCAAGAAGACAGTTTGTTGTTAGTACAAGCTCAGAAAGTGGACTGGTAAGGTTAGATTGATATGGTCCAAACTGCATTCATTAAGCTTCTTGGAAGGGATTCTCTCCTTTGCTGGGAAACCAAGTCAAGACTATCAAACTATTGAACATGGTTTCTTTTCTAGAAAACTAGGTTAAGGGTTGTTTGAAACATACCATACAACTGGGAGTACCAAGGGTTTCCCAACTTCCATCCGCGTCTGCACTCCTTGCAGCTGTGCACCCTTTGCTCTGACCTACACAGCTGTGAGCACGACGTCTAGTTTTCTTCTTCCTGTGGGCCAGAGCCCCTGCCCCTGTGTTCTGCTTACTCTGATCTCCTCCAGGATCCCAGTTGGGGCCACTCTGCTCTTACGCTCTCCCTTACTTTACTACAGGAAATACACTCAGTAGATGCTTTAAGCACTCACTTTAATAACATTTAGTATCGGCCTTGCTCGGGGTATAAAAAACCACCCCGGCTGCTCCCCACAAAACCTCTCCTCTGAGATCAGGCTTAATTGCCTACGTTTAATTGTTGGAGATGTGATGTTCACTTTTTTAAATTCAATGAATTGTTAAGAATTTAATAAATGACTTGATGTCTGTGAATCAGGATTCAAAATATAAAACTAATTTAACGTTTTAACTTCTTCCTAACGTTTTCTCAGAAGATGGACGTTAAGTATTGCTTGGAGGAAATGACCCTTTACACATACAACCTGCTCTGCCATGCTTCCCAGGGTTTTCTCTTTCTGTTAGCAGGGAACTAATAAATTTGTCATGAGGCACAAGAGAGAAAGAGAAATAGAAAGACATTGCTGTAGGAGTTGTCAAAAGAACCACACTGGTGTTTGTTTATCTTCCTCAGAGGACTTGTGCACAGACACGCTAGGCGTACACATAGATACACAGCTCCCCCAAGCCACAGCCAGCAAACCTTGAGAATTCCTCACTTCCATTTCCATAGCTATTGCCCCTTTTTGCATAGGGTGGACAACAGGTTCGTTTTTACATCTGTCCCTGACAAATACGGAGGAACTACCCCTTGACAGTGATTCACGAAGCATAGCAGATGACAATCTGTTTTTGATGATAGAGGATGTACTGAGCTAGGTACCAATACTTCATACTTGATTTGACCATCGTATTTCATCGGTAGATGACCTGTACCAATATTTAATTGTATACATGACTAAGACAAAGAACATGGCTCTACAATACTCTTTTGGCCTAATTCTGAGACTGAAGTCAAAATGGAGTTCAGGGGTCTTCCCTTCCCCCGGTGTCTCTGGAGGGAAAGTGAGTGTTGGCTGCTCTCGAAGGTGGGTGTTAGACGTTTGACGGGTTCTGAACAGCTAGGCACTGAGTTATGCTGCAGGGACAGGAAGACACTAAGGCATGTCCCAGAAGGAGTCCCAGGGTAGGGGAAGCAGATACAAAACCAGTGAAGCTATAATAACGGAGTAAGTGTTATAGTGTAGGTATACACACAGAACTGGGAGGGCTGGAGCTGGGGACCTGGCAGGGGAGCCCACGGAAGGGCCCAGGGGCTGTCTGTCCATTTTCCCTGGAAAGTAACAGGAGGGGAGAAAGGAGATGCTGGGAGCTCATTGCAACAAGGCTGCCTCCCATGCTAAGGAGCCCTGTAGGGAGAAGGCGGCTGGTTAGGCTTTATCAGGAGGGGAGAGAGACATGATAAAGGAAGAAAAATGTTTAATTAGGGAGTAAGTCAGGTGGCAGCTGGAGGAGGATGGACTAGACATGGACACTTTGGGGCCGGAAGACCAGGCAATGCTGCGGAGTCTCCTGGTAAGATGGGAGGGGGGTCTGAACCACCACCTGCCACATTTAGTGACTGGAAGTACAGCCCTCCTGCCAGATGAGTTTTAAAATTTATGATCCGCTTACAAGGAGGGAAGAAAATAGTCTGGGAAGAGAAAAAACAGGCTAGGAAGACATGAGCGAGCAGGTGTTGAGTGAAGAGGCCTTTACCAATCCTCTTTCTTTGAACTGAATTCATTAGCGAAATTTGAGAAACTGGAGTTTTAAAGAATTTGAAACTGGCATTCCCCCTTCTCTGTCTCTAGTCAGTTTTTAATTTGCTGTCATCTATTAGCTGACAGAAGAAAGGTGTCTTTCAGCAGTTAAGTCAGCCAATGGGAAGAGCGTGGACGCGGGCTTTTGCAGTGGGCGGTGCTGCCCCAGCCTCCTGGGAGGCGAGGTTTGGCTTACCAGGGGCACAGGAACCAACTTGTTGGAGCTCTCTTACTTGTCAAAGCACCTTCTTCGGGCAAGAGAAAGTGAAAATGGCCCCAAAAGCCGCACCACTGCAAACAAACAGTATAAAATGTAGACACTCTTGCTTTTGAAACCGAAGAGCCTCAAGCAGGCGGAAGGCAGCATTGCAGACCTGCTGCTTAGAGGTTTGTCTTTCATTGCCTGTGATGAGGGTCCTTTGAGACCAGCACAAATAAAAGCAAAGAGAATGACATCCAACTGTTCTGAAAAGGAAAGATGGCCCGACTCTTATATTTTGGTTCTTGTGTGGTTCTGTAAAGCTTCAATTGCCAGGAAACAGGCGCGTTGCTGTGGACAGATGCTCCGTAGCTGACGAGCTTTGTGGTGTGGTGGCCGTGGTGGTGATTTCGTTAGCACAAAGCCCTGCCAGTACACTCAGGCTTCTGGAGAGCACTGTGGCTGTCGGAGCAGCTCAGCTGACGGCGCATCGTCGACCGTGTTCCAGGTTTCTCTCCGCAGCACAAACCCCTTCCTTGCGATGTAAACAGTAAGACCACCCTGTTCAGTCGTTGACTCACAGCCGTGTGCCCTGAAATGCAACAACAATGAGGCAATTAATTGCACCTCTGTGTCTGACTGAATTCCAGTTTTCTCCTCTCCAAGTGGTGAAACAGGAAAGGACATCCCATCAGGAAGAACCTGACGGTGCCATCCAGTAGCTTTGCGTCACGTCACTGATGGCCCTCAGTCAGAAATCTTGACTTGCAACTTTAGAGGGTGGGTCCCTTAAAGAATTTCCAAGCTCGCGCTGAGATGAAGAGCGCTGCTCTCCGGTGAGAAGGGGCCTGGCTGCGAGGCTGGGGGGCTGGCTCCGACCACTCGGGCTGGAGGCGCCTCTGGTGGACTGAAGTTTTACAAAGGTAGGCACCCTTCTGTAGAAGTTGCTACTGGAGAACTTTCCAAACCAAGCTGGCCTTGACTCTGTGTGTGTGTGTGTGTGTGTGTGTGTGTGTGTGAGAGAGAGAGAGAGAGAGAGAGAGAGAGAGAGAGAGAAGGGGGATCAAAACGCTCATTTTGGCCTGAGAGACTGGGAGAGATACAGGAGTTGGAACCCTTTGCTGGGTGAGCTTTCCTTCAGACGTCTGTAGTAGTGGTAAGTGTTGAATCCCGACTTCTACTTCTGACCCGTGTTGCTGGCTATTTGGGGAGTTTACACTGATTCACTGAAGGGACAGGGAGGATTGTTCCGAGAGGGAAAGCCCACGAGGCCGGTGCTCAGCCAGCACACCCTGGTTTGTTAGGAAAGCCTTTGCTTGCCGTGGAATGAGAAGTATGGCTGCAGGTGGGGCAGCGAGGCCGTTTCGGCCCTTTCAGGATGTCTTCAGTGTGGGACAAGGCAGCGCCCCCTCCCCACAGTGGGAGATGTGTCCACGCTTCTCTGTCTTGAGCGAATAACCTCAGTGTCATCTCTAGGAGATAGAAGCTGATTAGCTCTAAAACTACCAGCCTCCTGGGGAGAAACAAAACAAAATAATCCTTTATTTTTTCTAACCCAAGCATACATTTAGCAAGCATGTTCTTTTAAGCAATTTTATTTCCTAAATAGCCTTACGCAGTGCAAGGAAAAGAAAAATTTGGGACTTACCAGACGGTGAATAGTAATTTATTCATTAATCCATAGTCTTCAAGTGCCTTCTCCACCATGAGTGAGGGCTCAAGAGTTTAAATAGCATCTTTTCATTCTTTTCCCCCTACAAGCCTTTTTTTTTTAAAAGGGGGGTTTCCACTTCGGATTTCATCAGTTGAATTCCTTGCCAAAGGGACAAATTATTTAAGGAGAAAGGGCACGTATGTTCCTATTGATAATAGTTGTCGAATCTTCCCATTAAAAATATTTCTGCCTTTTGTAAAAGCAATCAAATTAATTTACATAAATTTGAAGATAACTCTTGGTTAGTAATAATCTATGTTTATTTACTGAGTCCTTGTGGTGTGTATGTGCACTTCCACGTATGTGTATTTCATTCAGTAAGCTAGAACTCATATTGTGCAGTTTTCAGATGAGGAAATTTAGGCTGAGCGAGATTCACAGTGACGTAGCAAGGCAGGGAGAAATTCAGAACTCTGTTGTCTTTTCGCACCCAGAGGTACAGTTACTTTGTCATGCATAATGCATACTTTTTACCCCAATTTTTGAGAGAAAAATAAGGATGCATACTATACATGGGTACAATGATTACATACCATGGGTATAATAATGAGTATAATCCCACATACAATGTGCACAAAAGTGTGGGTGCGCATTATACATGACAAAATAGGGCATATGTGATTGGTGCCTTCTACATTCCTATCCTGGTGCATCAGCCCCACACAGAGCCCTTGTCTGCTGAAGGAGTTCTAAACCCATGATACGCCCACTTGGCATCTTACAGCAAAAGACCAAAAGTAGGTCTCTAATCTACTTCTGCTGTTGGGGTGAAGGCATGGTGTGGTGAACAGAGCAGGGACTAGAAAGGCAGAAAAGACCTAGATTTGAATCCCTTCTTCCTGCATACTAAGTCTGTGACCAAGGCTAGTCAGTGAAACTCTTCAAACCTCAGTTTCCTCATTAATAAGGTAACTATTATAATGCCCATCACACAGGGTTGTGATAAGGATTAGAAAGACAAGATATGCAAAGTGCCTCTTGCATGACTGACAAATGGTCGACTTTCAATAAATAGTGTCACTTCTCTAATTATTTGTGGATGCTTCATTACATCTTAGAGCAACTAACTTTCTTTGAAAATCACATTGTGATTATTGAGACCCTTCATGGTGGCACTGACCCCACTTTGACATAGCCTTTGAATCAGGGTAGTGAACACCCTATATTAAGGGTCCCCCAAAGCATAGTAAAATCGGGCCAAAAAAAAAAAAAGCAAAAACATTAGCTGCTTCTTGTTCAAAAGTCAGTTTCTTGTGCTAGTTATTGCAGTTATAGGTCAGTAAACAGACACCCCCCCCCCCAGTTCATCTGAGTTTTCCTGGGCCCCCAAAGTCACAGCAGAGGCACTGTTGGCAGGGTGTGCACAAGAGGAGAGTCTGGCTCCAAGATCTCACGGGACAGAGAATATGGTGTGGCAACCACTTGTTTACCTTGGGCCCCGGGCAGGCCATCTGCAGAGCAGCCTTGGGCTTTCCAAGGCCTCCCCAATATGACCGTAGGGACACAGCACAAAGGCTGAACTGGAGATAAGACACCTTCATTAAAGTGGTTTTTGAGACACATGTGATTGACTTATTTGCTGGCTAAAAGCCTGGAGTCATGGTTATCAAGTAGGCCAGCTGGCACCAGGAATAGCGCTTTGACAGTCTGTCCCTAACTCTGAATCTCGATGAGGTGACGGGTGTCAGAGGAACCCAGGGCAGCTCCTGTTGGAACCAGCTGCAGTGGCGTCTTCCTTTTCCTGGAAACAGGGACACTGACCTTGTTGGTCTTACACGGCCCCTGTTTGCCGTTTCATCTCCTTGGTGGACCCAGAGTCTTTGACGGAACCTTCGTGCCAGCCCTCGGCGGGCCAAACACTGGCCCCGTGAAAGGCGGTCCGAAGCTGCAGGCCTCACGCTCCTGAGCCCCGTGCGACAGTCGGTGTCGTCGCTTTCTGGGTCCCTCTGTGCTATGCATATTGCCTTAAGACTGCGTCTTATAGCAGGGATTTCAAATTATGAAAACTTAAAGGAAGCTAAAATCCCAGTTAGAATAAATCAGGGCTTAGGTATAAAGCCTCAAATGGCAAGTGAACAGAGAGACTAAGAACCTTTGACCTCGTAGCACATTGTAACAGCCAAAATTCTCCATGGGCTTTCTGTTGATGGTGGACAGATGTTTGATTGTAAGTGGACTCCAGCAATCACTGTGTTTTTAGAAGTTAAATTACTTTCAAATTTCATTATTATCTAAGTATCTCTATGTTGCTCAAATACAAAGTTAAAAGGTTTTGATTCACTTTAATTACCATTTCCTCTTTATGTTTCACCCACCTGGTTACTGGAGAATCTGGGGGCGGGGGGAGTGGTTTGTGCTACATTTTTAAGCAGAGCAAACCAAACAGACCAGAGGCCTAACACGTAACTGATGTTTGGTTTACAGAAGTTCCAATTCAATGGAATGTTTCCTTTTTGTTTCCTGAATTATATCTTCAGGAAATACCAGAAAACTAAGATATTTCACCAAAATTTCCAAATACTTCTACTTAGGATTGGCAGACACATATAGACCACAGACAGACACACACACACATACACTCATGTGAATGTGCACAATATAAAACAAAACCAAAAGATACCTACTTTTTTGGTGTATGTGCAACAGAGGTTTATTTCTTCTGTCATAGATTGTGCTGCCTTCTTCTTGCAGCTGTGCCTTCTGAAACATGTGACATGTGGTTACCAGAACTGGAAAAGAGAGAAATGGAAGTCATTCTCTAGCTTTTTCTTTTAATTGAGATATAATTGACTTATAACATTATATTAGTTTCAGATGTTACATAATGATTAGCTATTTGTGTATACTGTGAACTGATCACCAAAATACATTTTTCATTAAAGGGAGAAGTATAAAATTCTCAGCTAGAGCATATGTTTAGGTTTTTCAAAGAGACAAAATATTACATTAAGGGGCTTAAAATCATTTTAATTTACTATCTCCATGTTCTAAAATGAAGTACTTAGTGAAAAAGTCATATACCTTAATCCATTTATTCCCCACAGATAGTCATATGCAAGAACAAGGTCTGGGTTTTTTTTTTGTTATTATTATTTTGATTCCTGTGCCAGACATATGTATTTTAGCGGATAGTCAATAAATACTTGTTGATTAGATTGGTCCTGACTGAGGCTGAACAATAAAGTAATCATGTCAAGATTCAAGCAAAATTCTGAGCATATTCTTCAATAATGAAGATTACTTGGTATCATTTAATAACTAAATTGGCTTCAATTCCTTCTCCTCAAATTGCGCTTTCTTGTTTAACATCTGAGTAAAACTTTAAAACCTTAGAATATGCTGATGCTGAACAAATCCCAAATTGTGCAGATTAACGATTTTCATTTGTAATGCTCACATCATGGGCTCGTTGTCGTATTCTGCTGTGGGGCCAAGTTGCAGAGCCTCCTAATGAGCTCCTTCTGCTCCATTAGCCGAAGCCGGCTGTCCCTGACTTGCTGCCAGCGGAGGTCTGCTTTCTGTGAACTCTGGTCCACATCCAGTTGTGGAAGAGTAAAGCTTCAGAGCATTGCTGGATGATGACTGTAAAATAATATGCAAGCTGGATTTTCCTAAGTAATTGTTTTACTGATTACACTATTACGGTGGTTTTCAAACTTTTTTTGACTATCACTGATTGTAAGAAATACTTTTTAGATCCCAACTTAGAGCACACACACAAACTAACTGAAAAAAAGTTCCACAAAACAATACTTGATGCATATTGGTGTTTTCTTTTCTATTCCGTTCCACTCTACAATATCTCTGGTTGTGGCCTATGAATTAATTTTGTGATCCACTGATAGTGGTTCTCAATACTGGTGAAAATAAAAATCAATAGGGAACTTTAAAAAAATACTAAAGCCAAAGACACAATAGACTAACAGAATGAACTAGAGAGTCCAGAAATAAACCTCCACATATTTGGACCCTTGAGTTATGACGATATTAATACAATAAGGAAGGGATAGTCATTTGAATGTCCATATTGAAAAAAAATTGAATCTTGATTCTAACCTCAAAATTTACACAGATCTAAATGGTAATGTAGATGTGACAGGTATAACTTCTAGACCTGCGTTGTCCAACATGGTAGCTGCTAGCTGCGTGTGGTTACGAGGTCCCTGAAATGTGGCTGGTCCAATAGAGACATGCTCTGTGTTTAGAACA